TGAGTGAGGAGGGAACCGATTAGCTCTTCAAGAGTTAAGGACTTTAGGTTCTTAGCCTCGATGATTGCAGTCTTCTTGGATTGCCATGATTTTGGAAGTGGGTAAACTAACTTCCTCACAAGCTTTTCATTTAGAATGATCTCTCCATATGATTTGAGACCATTGACAATCGTTGAGAATCTATCCGTCATAGCTTTGATATCTTCATTTGGTTTCATCCTGAAATTTTCATAGCTATGTGTTAGAAGACTAATTTTAGATTCTTTACCTCTTCGTGCCTTCATGAGTGACTTGTAGTTTATCCCATATTTCTTTGGCAGTTGTACAAGATGAAACTCTTCCATATTCATCTAGTCCAATAGCATAAAATATGATATGGATGACTTTGGAGTTGAGCTGGAACATTCTTGTCTTTCATTTACTCCATAATCTTGGATGAGTGAGAGGCTTGATATATCCGTCTTCTACAACATTCCATGCTCCCATGTCACTGGCTTGAATGAAATACATCATCCTATTATTCCAATAGGCATAGTTAGCCCCATTGAAGAAATGAGGCTTGTTGACGGGCATCGAATCGACCGGAGTCGACGTTTGAAGTGGAGGCCATTGATGACTTTGATTATCGATGTAACTCTTCCCGAATCGACTCAAGAGGCGATTAAACCTTCAAATGAGTTAGGCTCTGATGCCAATTGTTGAGTTAATTGATCGACGGAATCGGCCAAGAGGGGGTGAATTGGCAATTAAAATTTTTGTGGAAGCTTTTGCAGAAAATTGAAAGTAATTGCACAATAATTTAGAGTGGTTCGACTTTCTCAATCAAAGTCTATGTCCACTACCTTAGCTATCCACACTAAGGATTTTTCAACAAATTCACTAATTTGTTCTTTCTTTTGAGGCCAAAGAGATAACCTTACAACTCCCTCAAGAATTATACCCCAAATTCTTGAGAACACTCTTTCTCAAAGAGAAGATTACAAATTTGCAAACTTACAAGGAAATCTTCACAAGGTAGATTGTTTGCATAATTCTAGAACAAAGAAAAAACACTAAAAAATGAATACAATTGAGTACTAGTGTTCTTGAAAGCAAAATGAATATTGAATGAAAAATAGGCTTGAAATGCTCAAACTTGAGGTTTGATGCTTTCTCTTTGATTCTCTCTTGATTCTTGTTGATTGTTGTTTCATATGTTGATCAATGGCTTCTAAGCTTGTTTAAATACACCTTCAAATGATTCTGAACGTTAGGGATGATTAGTGGAGTCAACAGAGCCGTTTTAGTGTGAAATCAATTAATAAAATAGCTTGGAACGTAGGGGGAATCGATACCCCCTCATGGGGAATCGGTTCCCTAAGTGTAAAATTCAAATATTTCGATCGTTGAACATGGGGGAATCGGTACCCCCTTGGGGGGGGAATCGGTTCCCTCTGGACATTCTGGAATTTTTGGCTTTGAAACGGTTCGAAATACTTTGTAAAATTATTTTGAAATAATTTTAAGATTAAAACTTAATTTTACACTTGAGTAAGGATTAAAAATGACTTTTGAGAGATTTGGAGTAATATTTTGATATTCGAATAATTATATAGAATATACTTAGAAAATCTTTTTGGAAAATCTTAAAATTCATTTATCTTAATTTGTTATATCGAAATATCAAAATGTTTTCAACATATGTGTAATCTGATCTCGATGTAGAATCCGACCAAATAAGATTATGCAATGCCCCTGATTCGTCTACCAAGTATGTCATAAAAAACTTGGGATCATCATGTTTCTTATAATCAAAGTAAGCAATAAGCGCATTCACATCCCCATCGACGATTTCCTTTGCTTTACCTCTTTTAAGTGCATTATACAGGTCTTTATGTGTAAATCCAACATTATGATAGCCCCTGCTTGCTGCGTTAAATAGTTCATTACTTGTGACATTCCAACATTGACCTCTTTCAATATTGTTGCCTCATCGATATCAGCCTTACTTACAGCTCTATTAGAACGCATAAATGGTGTTATAGCAGGTGTGCACAATGCATGATTATTCTGATAAGATTTAATTATAACCCACTGATCGTTTGTATTTGTTGTTGTAACTACGACTCTAGCCTTGCATCTTGTTCTTGTAACTGGCCTATGAGCACATTGACGATCAACAATATTGACTTTCGATACTCGAAACCCTTCTTTGGAACAACAAAATTCTTGTGTCTTCACATTCCCTTCCACGTCAAGCCGTGTTGTTCCCTTACATGCACTAAACCCATGTTCCCGTGCGAATCCCTTTTAAAAGTACCAAGCTTGATCACGTGAAGAGAAGAGTTGACCAACCAATCTGTCAGATTCATCAACATTATGTACTTCATGACATTCCTCGGTTGGCTTAACATTGTCTGCATCAGTATGATCCATGGTAAAAATTTTGTTGTGCAAGTTCAGTGGTCCCGGAGTTGATGGAGATGTAAGTAAAGGTTCATTGAACATGTTTCAGTCGTGCTTTCAATAGGAGTGGTAGCGGTAGTTGAAGGGTGGGTACAACATTAAATTCGCATGACATATTTAGGTATGTACAATAACTAGCTAAATAGGTGTCGATACATTTTCTAAAAGTATCGACCCCAAAAACATCAAAACCAATAATTATAATGTAATACGTAAATTAACAATGTAACCGGTATAAGTATACCAGTTAATTAGAAAACATGTCAACATAATGTATCGACACTTTTTTAATTTGTGTCGATACTTATTGTCCATAATATAAAGTGTCGATATATTTATTAAAAGTATCGATCCCAATAACATCGAAACCGATAATTATCATGTAATAGATAAATTTACAATGTAACTGGTATAAATATATCGGTTTTATAAGAAAATAGGTCAGCATAAAGTATCGACACCATTTAAATTTGTGTCGATACTTTTTGTCCATAATGAATGTCAAACGGGGTGCACGCATAAAGTGTCGATACATTTATTAAAAGTATCGATCCAAACATCGAAATCGATAATTACAATGTGATAGGTAAATTTACAATGTACCGATAGAAATATACCGGTTTTATGAGAAAATATGTCTAAATAATGTATCGACACTTTTTAAGTTTGTGTCGATACTTTTTTCCAGAATGAATGGCCAACGAGGTGCATGCATAAAGTGTCGATACATTTAAAATTGTATCGATCCAAAAAATATATAATATGTAAATTTGCAATGTTACCGGTATAAATATACTGATTTACTTAGAAAATAGGTCAATATAAGCGCTACCTATTACATTATATAAGCGCTACCTAATATGTTATTGTACTTGATAATATTTCCGGTTAAATGTCTATTTTATTATATAAGCGCTACATATTACATTATATAAGCGCTACCTAATATGTTATTGTACTTGATAATATTTCCAGTTAAATGTCTATTTTATTATATAAGTGCTACATATTACATTATATAAACGCTACCTAATATTTTATTGTACTTAATAATATTTTCGGTTAAATGATATAACATAACTGATCTAAATTTTAACCGATCACTTGTTTAATCGATCATGTCGATTTTTAGCCGTTTTTAGGCACCGCACCGCAGAAGCTCCCAAAAAATGTACATGAATTTGTTAAAGAAAAAAAACACGTAAGGTGAATGTTGTAGACACATGTAAGAGCACGAGTCAAACATTGACTTATATTTATTAATTTTATTTTCAATCATTCAATAAATATATATTTAAAAGATTATATTTAAATATCTAATAAATTTCATATCTAAGGGTTTGTCATGAACTTCTAAAATACATGTCATCGTCATCGCTTGTCATGCAAATATGTGCCTTTAACACAGGGCTAGTGTTTATTCTTTTTCCATCAAATTTGTATATTTTTTCATATTTTTAACTCATTTTTTCCTTTTTCTTTCGTATTAGTCTCAATTTTAAAGTTTTGACCAACTTTTGTCACATAAGGATAGGGGAGCGTTCAATCGAATCGAGTCAAGTAAAAAAATCGAGTTATTTAAGTTATGAATCTTATTTTATAACTCGAATTTGATTTGAATTTTTTTTAAGTCGAGTCGAATTGAATTTTCGAGTTTTTGTTTAAATTTGATTTTAAATATTTATAATATTATGATATTATTTTATAATAATTTAAATGTTTTTTATTACCATATATAATATATATATATATATATATATATATATATATATATATATATATATATATATATATATATATATATTTCTTCATATTTTTTTCGTACATGATATACATATATCATTCAGAGTTGAGGGATTCGAATAAAACTTGAAAATCAATCCACTAATTAATAAAAAATTAGAGTTACTATTCAAGTTATTTTAGTTGTATTTTATAACTCGATTTGAACTTGAATTTTTTTTCGAGTTGAGTCAAGTTTATGAAAATTACAGCTCAAGGTTAATTCAAATCGAATCGAAAAATTGATTTTTCAAGTTGAACCGATTTTTACTCAACCTTAAAAAGATGTTTCTCACAAAATGTCAAGCGATATCAATAGTAAATGAATTGTTATTATTTTTTGCGGTCTCGGTTTAATCATTCAAACACCAAGAATACTAAGAGTTCATACGGCTAATTGTAGTCGATGGTAATTTTATAGCTTATTCAGGGTGAGTTTATAATTTGAATTTTCTTTAATTAGTTATACATTTATTTGGAGGTGTATACTCGAAATTTTATTTATGTTTAGCTATTCAAAAATATTATACTTATAACATTCGTGTACTCGCTCTAAAAATTATTTATAGATCCGTCTTGGTCTGTAGTTTAACATAATAGATTTGATTGATGCGATGAAGATGAACTTTCCATTTCTCTTATAAAATTTAGAAACTAACTTAAAATTCGATAATTGTTCAAAGACATTTGAAGAAATTAACCAAAAAGATTTTTTAGAAAACCAAAAGAATCTAAAAACATAGGAGACGAACGTAAAAAGAAAGAAAGAGAGGTTTCTTGAAGGAAACGAAGAAGAAAAATGAAAGAGGTTTGATGTCACTTAGCAACCATCCTGGCAATAAAATCATCGTATTTGAGTTTGCCGTCGGCGCCAACATCCACTCCCTTGATCCAATCATCGAACTCCGCCGGCTCCAGCTTCTCGCCGATGCTGGTCAATATATGTTTAAGATCCGACACCAAGACGAAGCCGCTTCCGTCCTTATCCAGCACCTTGAACGCATCGCGCAGCTGCTGATCGAACGGCTCCGTCTTCAAGTGCTTCTCCATCAGTTCCAGAAAGCGTTTGAAATCAAACGGCGACGTCAACTTCTCTTGAGCCACGATGTCTTTGAGTTGAGCTTGGGTGGGGTTTCCACCCAGTGATCTCATTAATACCCCGAGCTCCGTCGGAGCAATCTTGCCGTCGCCGTCGGTGTCGAAGAGAGTGAAGGCTTCTTTCATGGCGTTTTTCTGGTCGTCGGTTAGGCCCATTTTGTGGATGATTATGATTATGATTGGCCATTGGGTTCCTTTTAAGTGGAGAAATTGTAAAACGTAAGCGAGATAATGGGAACAGTAAAACATTTTTACTGTTTCTTTCGCATTTTTATCGTCTCAAAATTCCCCCACGCCATGCATGCTTTTGTGTTTCCCCGACTTCTACTCCTTTTTACTCATTTTACATCGCTTATAAAATACGCATATAATCCCTATTAGCTTTTTGAGTATACTACATCTTTAGTACCTAAATTATTATTTTTATTCTGTTTTAGTACTCAAATTTTTTTTTAAACCATACCTAATGTTTAGTTTAAGTTTCAAATTTTTATTATTATTTTCAATGATAATATGACATTATCTTATCACGTCAACATCACCGTTAAGTTTTTAACAGAGGATATCAAAATGAAACATAAACTAAATGTTAAGTATAATTTTTTTTAAAAAAAGGAGAGGAAATTACGTGGATATCACATGAATTCCACATCGATAAAAAAAATTCACATCAACACACCCGAGTGTCATACCACCCTTTTATTTATTATTTAATATCAAATCAAAAATTTAAAGAGTAAATTATTTTTAAAAAAAACCTCTAACGACCAAAATGGGAATGAGAAGTAAATTGAGTGATACAATCTAAAATTTACGCTTTAAAATTTAACTCTCAATATTTTAATATTTTATAAATTAGTCCCTCCTATTTTCTAATGCTTCTCTCTTCGTCCATTAATTAACACCTTGCTCTCTTGTTTTTCTCTGCTAGGCAAAGGTTAAAAACGTCACCATAAAATAACAGAAATCATGAAAACATGGTAATCCTAATCTCCGCATAAGATAATAAATCTTTAGGTGAAAAACATTTACTTTTTTTCTTTTCCTTTTCACAAATATAATACACACATTATATATCAAATTCTAGCCTAAAAGTCAAATTCATGTACCTAATTGGATAAAAGAATCTAATCAAATTACACATTAAAAACAAGTTCAGATACCCTAATTAGACCCCCCCCCCCACAAAAAAAATTAAATACCAAATTACATCCCTCAGGTTCAATCTCACATTCATCATATAAACACAATCTAATGTCTGAAAGAAGATTCTAAAAGTTTCAATCATTGGCTCATTGCAATGAAAATTGAATATATAGACAGTACAAAGTTTCAAATGGAGAGATTACATATGGTGATTGGCCAGAGGGAAAACCAAAGAAATGTTGAGCTCTCACCGGTGGCTCTCAGGCCAGTCTTTAAGGAACAATTAACACCGGTAATTACAATGAAATCCGATGTTATCACTTCAAAATCACAACGATACAGATATATGTACATAAGATGTGCAACCCAGATTTTCTTTTTATGAGTGATTGAAACTTGATAGCTTGCTCTTGTTCCCTAGTTAATGCTTCTGGGGCAGCTCCCAGTCGGGCCTCGTTGGATATTTGAAACCTTGAAGCGCCGTCATTCGTTTTAAATCTTCTTCAGAATAGGCCGGGATGAACCAGAATTTCTTCTTTAGTCCAAATACCTGAATTCAGAAAAGAGTTTAATCATTTCGGGTAAAGTTTTCTTTTGGAACCTATAATTTCTCATGGACATAACTATTGATGAACTTATTGCACAAATGTTCATAGTTCATAGTCCATTGCAGCAATGATAAGATATGCATTTATGCATTCTGAAAGTGTGTCATTGTCGGACCAATGCTACGCGTGGTGGATTGATGAAGCTAACGAGTAAAGGGGAGTATATGTATACATAAGTAAACAGGGTATGGTCGAGCAAAGCGTACAAGGCCCGAAGATGAAGATTCAACTATATTTCCAATCTTTGATAAGTTCAATGTCGTGCAGGAGACAGAGCACCTTCAGGAATTTCGTCGGGAAGGCAAACGTTCAAAATCCGATCTTTTAGTGCTCCAGCAGTCACATGGCATTTACATTTTTTAGGATTTCCTTCAACATGTTCTTTTCGATATTTATTCAATCCTTAACATCTTATATGTATAATAGACAAGTACTCGAAAAGACACCCAGAGATCGATGCAACACGCTGACATTGGATAATTATCAACGATGAAAGGAAGGGGCTCGGGAAGGAAGGAAAGAAAATTAACCCGTTGAAAATTCTTCTTCCAACCAAGGTCGTATCGCCACTTAGGACTGGTTTTCTTCTCATATGCCTGAAATTAAGACATGCAAAAATGAGACCTTAACTTATTACTTCGGCAACGAGGGGAAACATGATTATGCAAGAGATTACCTCAATAGTGGTGGTATTGGCTCCAACCAATGCTATGTGCATAATCAGAAAGCCCAGAATACTCAGTGCAAATGCTAAGTTCAAAACTGAAAGGTTCGGATTACAATAGGTTAAAAACATCGACGACCGATTATATGGAAGATGCTTAAACCCTTCAGCCACTTACCAAATGTGATAAAAGTAGCTGCAAGTGTTCCTGGTGTTTCATCTATCTCACCATCGTTAAAGAACTCCATAAAAACCCGCAGTAACAATAAACAGACAAGTGTTGTCTCAAGAAATGTGTAAAACTGCATCAAATTTAAGAAGGAAAAAAATCAAAATACAATTCAATTTGCCCCTTGGTATATGTCCACTAGTCGCGTGCCAAACAATGATATCTAGTTGGCGTAAGAGTATTTAACACATAAGACTCGATATGCCAACTGCCAGCAGAAAATAGCTTGTAGCAGGATAGCAATGCTGAAAAGTGCAGAATGTTTAAAGCTATAAATGGAGCATATCAATTACTGTCATGACTGATCAGGTAAAATTTAGAATACCCCACCCGAGTGCACGTATTATCAGAGAAAAAGTACACAAAGACATGAATTTTAGAATTCTACATGGAAGAATACCATCTTTCTCAATAAATTCTCACATCATAATGGTTTCAAAGTACTTCAAACTGCAGAAGACAACTTCATCATACTGAGGTTCATGCGTAAATTGATGAACAACAGATTAAGTCCGCACGCATCAGTCAGAATGAGCATTCATGTTGGTGGCATCTTCACAAACTAATCAAGGTAACATATGATATCATCTTCCTTCATCCTTGAGAAATAAACTATTAATCTTATGAGCATTAAATCAGGGGATTCTTATGAGGCTTAAAACTTAAATCGTCCAAAAATGTATGGTGGAGAACAATCATACATGGAGCATCCTATGTTCAGCCGCTCCAACTATTCACTTTTCCACCGGACTGTATCATATTTTCAAACATCATATTGGCAGTCACCAGAAAATTATGGTCATCGCCCAACTAAGTACCATATCACGGTATCACCAATAGAATGCAGCTACAATAATAGAAATAGATGCTTAAAGTTAACATACCAAAAATAGAAGGAAATACTTGTAGTTCAAAGCTCCAACACAGTTGACAACCCAAACACAGTGATGGTCCATTTTTAGTATACACCTTCTACCTGAAATCGATTAATAAATGGTTTTTTTAACTAAAGATAGCATAACAACAAAGCTACAACTGAAGAATTTATCGCAGGTTACTCACAAACAGAGCAGTGGTGGGTGCGAGGAGGTTTAAATTGTTTGCACTTGTGACAGAAACGTATGTCTTGGCTCATGTAATCACCTGCCATAACTAAATGCTTTGAGTCTAATTCTGCATTTCCATAACCAGAACCGACCAATGGATCGGCATCACCTTTCTCCTCATCTGTGAGGGGCCTCCAATCCGGCGGGACACCCCCTGGATCCGTTACAACAGCAGAAGAATAACACCACATAACCATTACCAGCTGAAAAAACCAGGAAAGCTTACTTCAAAATGAAGCAATGCCCTCTAACAAAACCAATCACAACACAAACAAGGAAACAAAATCATAAATATTATGATAATTAATCCCAGATTTCATCCTTTTCTTCCCTTCAAATTCAGCAAAACCCCATCAATCTAAAACTCGAATCACAACAATTAACTTCTCATATCATTTACCATAACCAATTAACCTGCAATTGATCACCTATAAAAACTTGAGCTAAAAAAATCCTCTTCATAAAATCACCAACGAAAACTGAAGCCAAATCCAACATTTTCCCTTATAAAATCACTTAAATTCAATCTCCTTTATGATCAAACATCCTATGTTTTTATCACAAATCAAACAAAAGGAACAGGTAAAGCTAAAATCTTTGTTCTCCATAGGACCATTGCATGTATAAAGTAAATCATGACAAAAGATAGACAAAGACGAAAAGGGTTTTACCAGGGAATGAAACAAGACGAGAACTACAACGGAAAAAACTGTATCAAAGCCTCCAAGAAAGAGACTTGGACCATAATGAGCGATCACCACTGAATAGTAAGTGACACCAATGATCGCAAGAACGAAAACGATCATAATCGAACCCAAAGCACGTAGTGCCGTGCAGAATTTGAACACGTTCCATGCCATAAAGTTTAACTTTTTTTATTTCTTTTGTAAAACAAAGAAGAGATTTTGAAAGGGGGGAGGGGGAATTTGAGAAGGGGGAATTTGGAACTCCGATGAAGCAAGGAATTCCGATCCCCGGAATTTGGGTCAATCAATGAATTTGATGATGCGGTCAATATTTCCGCTGCTAGATTTTGATTAGAACTTTGAAATTTTCCTTTTATGGTAACATTAGAATTAAATTCTAAATGTACTAGAAGTAATTATTTTCATTCAACACGGTTTTCCCGGGAAAGCCCAGAAATAATTTTCCGAGAAATTGATGGGTCTTGGATCCATTTTCTTACCGGGCCTTAAAAGACTGAGCAACACTTGAGCCTAAGCTTGTAAACGACAAAGATAGATTGTAAGTATTTGAGTTTGATATGATCAAAATTATGTTAATACTTAAATTAAATAGGTTCGACTCAAACTCGAATTCACTTAAGTTCTTAACGAGCCGAAATAAATTATTTGATGTTTGACTTAAAAAATTTCATGAGAAACTTAATATGTATATATTTATTATAAGTTTTTCATGTACTTAAGGTTATGTTCAAACTCGAAATAAGTCTTAGAATGTTTTGAGTTTAAGTTTTTTTTGAACTCGAGTCAAGCTTCATTTTTTTTCAAGTTCGAGTCAAACTTGACAATTTTAAGCTCGTAAGCTTTCAAGTCGAGCTCAATTTTAAACTTTTAGAGTCAAGTCGAACTCAACAATACTTAAAACTCGACTTGGCTCGTTTACAATCCTATTTGAACCAATCTTCTAAACTGTCTAAACTATATTCTATTTTATGATTGATTCTACCAATATTGTCTTTAAAATTCGAATATAAATCCTCTTATTAGAAGTGTAATATGTCTTACGAATTTTTCTAGTGATGGCTTTAACAATAAAATTAGGGTAAAGTATACAAATGATCCCCAAATTATAAAATTATGCTTTATTAAGTCCACGACTATTAAAAGTTACAAAATGATTCATGACTATAGGGAGTTGCTTTGTTGAGTCCCTTGACTATTAAAAGTTACAAAATGATCACTCGGCTATTCATTATGTTCCAAACTCATCATTTTCCGTTAAAAAATTAATGACAGTCTTAATTGGACGTTAACATGCTGATTGAGATATGATAAAATATAATATCATTATCTCAAAAAAACTATCATATCTCAGTCAACATGGTTAACGTCTAGCTCAGACAACCGTTAATTTTTTAATGGAAAATGATGAGTATGGAACATAACGAATAATTAGGTGACAATTTTGTAACTTTTAATAGTCGAATGACTCAACAAAAAACTCCCTATAATCGAAGAATTATTTTGTAACTTTTAATATTGTATTTTACCCATTTCATATGAATCCATTAGTCTTTGATTCTCAAATATATATATGAAATACGAGTGTCGATTACAAATATTTTAGAAAAATAAAGAATCGGAGCAACATAAATATACCTAAGAACAACATATGCAGATTCTATACTTCACTAATCAACGAACTCAAGGACACAACTGAAATTAAACACACCACGGTTTCTGATATGTAGTTTCTTAGTTTAAACCAAAAAGACTAAGTTACGTTTATCATACTAACGATGATGTCGACTAGGATTTCCTCAGAGTTATCGCAAGCGATGCAAGAGGTATACGGAAGAGGCTGCTAGAGAGAGTTGCTCCATCGGCACGCGGTTATTCTGATTTAAGATCTTGAGTAGGATAATAGTATGAGCCTCCGTTTTGAGCACCGTCGATCTTAGAACCCTCTTTCAACTGAATTACACCGGAATAAACACATTAGCGGAACAAAGAAACGAAAATCTTGAGCCGTAAGACGTGATATGCGAAGCTATGAGCGTAAACCCCTCATCTTAAGACTCTTGATGAAGCATATAATAAACAAGAAAAATTATTTGGAAACGACAGTTCAAGTATTCTACATTGTCTTTCAATCAAGCTTTTAAGTGACATCAACCAATGATTATATAAGCCCGTGTTCGAAAAAAACTCTGTTTAGAAAGTAATGATCTGCTCACATTTTATGGCAGTGTATATTTGAGGATAGTCTCATTTCCCCATTAGATAAACTAAAGTGTAAAACATGCCAAGGCAAGTGATAAAGGATATAGATCAAAGGAAATGAGTGGCTTACCTTCTTTAGGACCTTCTTATGATATCGGTAGCCCTAATCACACAAGAAGAAGATTTATTACACAAGAAAAGTTATCAGTTGATTACACAAGAAATCATGCATTGTTCGATTACCTTGTCGGTGCCATAGATATAATCACAATAAGTGAAAACCGAAGCGAAGTTGCTCTGGCTTTGTCCTCCAACATAGTGATGATAATCGTGGTAATCTGCACCGCCATAGAATGGGATAAATCTTGTGGGAGTCCAAGGGAAGTCATATCTGCATTACACAACTTATACCGTAAACAACCTACTTTTGCAGCAGAAATCACTTACTAGCTTTCGTTAAATTAAACACTGACAAACAAACCGTATTATGCTTTAATACAAAACCATATCCATGTCAAACACATACCCATATCCGACACTCACACTCTATTTTTTTTTTGATTAAGACACACACTCTAGTATGAGTAACATAGGTCATTGGGTTAACTCTATGTACCCAATTAATACTACAAATATCTTAAATTCTAAGTCATGATACTTTAAAAGAAGGTTTCATATAAAAAATAGACCCAAAACCAATTATACCAGATTAAGTATTTATTCGGCAACATTTGTGACAGACCGGTATGCATGTGATTTTCTATTATATGCTTTGACAATCATTATTAAAAAAAATCCAGCGGTCATCTTCTCTCTATGAAGCTTGATCGGATATCAAATATGGATATTTTAAGCCCCAATTATTGCCTAAAATTGCTACTCCTACAATGAACTATTCCAACAGCAATCACAGCTTCCTTCGGTAGCCCTGTTAACTAAAAACGTGAGTAACTGACTTCCCATCATCAGCAGAGAGTGGTTTTGGACATGCACAATCGATTTAGAACTATAGAATTCATTTCTTTATCCTCAATTTAATAATGTAACGACATCATGTCCCTTTTCCCCCTTAAATTCAGCTAAAATTTAGCCAGCAGACATAATAGTTGCACATAAGGTCAAAACCGATGTGGGAAACTATTGATGCTGCTTTACCAACAAAAAAAAATTGAATTATTGAATGAATGAATGCTAAGTCAGCATCATACCAGGTTAACCTCCATCAAATGAGACTGGATAGAAAGCATAAATGTCAAAGAATGTGATGGAGAGTAATAATCGATTTTCAAAAGTCGATGAAAAAGAATGCCTCGGGAACACTTGAAAAAAGTAGAAATGGATTTAACAATAAAAAAGAAACCATTGAATTATGGGTGTATATAATATATATAGAGAGACAGACAGACAGATTACAACATTCCACAATTTAAGGGGTAACTAGTGGTAATTCTCAGCAAAACAAAGTTTAACTTACGAAAAAGAAAATATCAAGCAAAAGTCAGCCAGTGTTGAAAGATCCTTAAAAATACAAGCAATTTGATATAGAAAGGTGGCTTTGAAAAGTAATGAAAATTTCTAAGGCTGGTATCATTCAGTCACAAGATTAAAGCAACAAAGGGCTTTGAGCAAAATAGAAAAGTAAAACAACATAACAAAAAGGTTAAGCTCTAGCATGCATACCCACTGTGTGTCTCAATTGCTTCAATTTGCCGTAAAGCTATCCATAACCAAAACGTGACCATATGCCCCGGAGCAATTGCTGGCCCCAGAAAAGACGGAATCCCAAGGATCAAAACTTCCAACCAGTGTGCATACGGCGCGGCAAAGCCGATTGGAGCAGTGTGTTCGTGGTGAACCCGGTGGATTTTCTCATAGCCCCATTTACCATGGAGGAACCTGTGAATCCAGTAATTGGTATAATCTTCTATCATGAAATATACAGTCAACTGAGCCACAATCTCCCACAGTGATGGCAATGGCAGCCCTGTTCTGATCCCTATCATCTGTCGAGAATGGACTTGTATTAGTAGATAAAATCCATTGTTCTTGAAATAATAAGATTACAGATTCAAAATCATTTGAATTAAGTGTATAAATAAACAGAGGAAATTAAATGTTCAAATCTTCAAGAATCTCACTAATGAAACTTCGTAAAAAACGAACTAATCTCACTAATTAAACAAATTTCCCAGAAAACTAATCAACAATATATATATATATATATACACCAATCTACCTTGTTGAACATGAAAATCTCATCAAGTCCATAAAATTGAAGTCAGAGAGTTCAAGACATCTTCATATTAACACAATTATATCCCATGAATAAACAAATTTCTCAATATAATAAATCACGTTCTCCAAAAACATCAATCTTTCACCAAAATGGCATCCCAAACGAAACGTTTGGGGGAAAAAACAACAACCTAAACCCATAAAAATCCTGGAAAATTGAATGAGTTTTACCTTAACTGAAGGATAAGACACTAGCTGCAAAGGACCCACAACGAGAATGAACATCCGCATCACATCCTTATAACACTGGAACATCTCAGACAACGTCAGGCTAACTTTGGGTTGAATCTTGTACTTATCGAATCCCAAAGATCTAATCATCTCGACGAGAACGAGGGGCAAAGGAACCACGGAAAATATCAGGAACAAAAACAGGATGTTGTGGAAATAAAGATAGTAATCCGATTTTTTAGCCGAGTAATTGAACCACAAAGTCTCGGCTACCGTCAGGTTCCGTCCGATGAAGGTGGCAGCCTCATCGATTGTATTGAACGGCAACATTTTTCAGTGTTGCGGCGCCGGTGGCGGTGATGGTGGATTTGTCACTAAGTCAAAAGATGCCGCAGTCTAAAGAGGAATCTTCAGCTTGCATGAATTAAACTCTTTCAAGACTGTGGTGTGGTTTGTTTTTTGCATGGAGGTTTGGAAATGGAGGGGGGATAAATATACGAGGATTCATTTAATATTTCTCATTTAAAATAGACGTGTTTAACATTTTTGACATCATCTATGTAGGTATATCGCTATTGATTATATTTCATCATTATTTGACACGTATTAAGCTAATAAAAATTTGAAAATTTTATTTTAAAATAAAAAATGATTTTTATTTATTTATTTATAAAAAA